GTAAATTCTTAAATCAATGTATGCTTCTGGCATAATGGTAGAGATTTTTAGTCCTAATTGGGGATTTCAACTCTTAAAATATTTTCTATGGACTTAGTCACTCATTGAGATTTCTAGCAGATAATTTGTTCCATGACTGAACTTCTGGTTCTATAAGGCTAGTACATGTGTTTGAAGATTTTTATCAATTTCTCGGCATTTAATTAATTAGAAATTTCAAATCTCCCCCTAATGCCGAGAAAAGATCTTATAATGCAACCAACATCATTGTTGATTTCTCATGATGGGATATAGCTAGAAGGGTTGCATACTAAAAAAAATTGAACGCAGATAGGGAAATGCATCATGTACTAGCGTATGTGATATGTAGTGGATCAAGATATTGGTTATTCAATTTTTGAAGGTCCCCAAAAAACATATTTCCTCCAAAATTGCATAATTTGCTTTCCAAACAAAGCTCTATTAAGATTTAGAGCTTTAGTTAAAAAATATGATATTGTGTATCTTAATTAAGTGTTTCATGACAATTAGAGAAACAAGTAGAGTACTCAACGTAACATACAATGGAGTGAACTCATCAAGATAACATATCATAATTTTCGTCTATTTATCATGCTTTCTAAAAAAAATCATAATTTCATCTAGCAAGCATGATCTCTAAAAACTAAGCATCAATTAGATGCATGGCATATATTTTCTTTAAACAATGGCCATAGTAAAAAAACACCACATAGTGATATATGCATGCACATAATAGCCCATATAAATATGAGATAGCACTTATTATTTTGTCACCTCCAGGATGTTTAGTTTGTCAATTGTATGACCATCGCAGGATCATTGGGTTTATCTTTTTCTATGATGTTTCAAATCGATAGGGATAGCCAAAATATCGTAGACTATTATTACAATAAAATGTATAATCAAACAAAATGTATTGATTAGTAAACTAGTGTCCCCAATAAAGGGAATATACATGACTCCAAGTCTGTAATATGTATGAACATGCTAATAGGGGCCGTCATACCAAATAATATTCGTAATAAAAATGAATACAGACAGATGCTTTTCTCAATCATATTTGATATGACCGGAGATACATATGATACGGACAGACATTATGCATGGAAATTCAAGCATAATCTTTGAGCAAATTTAGGCAATTAGTATCAATCCCCTTGAATGCACAACGAATTGACCATAAAAATCAGTAAATCACATAATTTACGGTCGTGGGTTGTGTATAAATGCATGATGATCAATGACCATAAGCTTAACGCTAAAAAAAAAAAATATCTCCAAATGAATTGTTAATTATGAGGTAGTGCAAATCAATGGAATTATTTCATTACCTGTCGCCAGGTTTATTTGCCACAACTCACTAATTTTGCTGCTGCGAAATGACTTCTGCGGAGATGCGATGAAGCGAACGACCAACAACGATAACAATGGCTACTACCGTCGGCGATCCTCCCTCCGTCAGATCGAAATAGCCACACCGCTCAGCGCCGCACCCGATCGGCAGAGAAAACACGGCATCGCCGTTGCCGCCGCATCTCCAAACGGAATACAGCCAGCAAAAACATCCAATGTTGCGACCATCAGGGACGTAGATTGGAGACGGATAACAGCGGTAGCAGATTGACCAAGAGCAGGTTTTGATTGTGTTTTTATTTATTTTCGAAAACACACAATGTTCGTCCAAAAAACCAACATATATACTGCTAATTTTTCATTCTAAGTTCTAAACAGGAATTATGCTGTGAAGAGCTTTTTGAAAAAACTATGTCTTTTGGAAACAAAATTATGTAGTTTTCGAGAGAGAGAGAAAAAAAATATCCACGAAAACTTACATATTTTCATAATAGTATTTCCAAAAAAAGGTTATGCTGTGTGAACATTAGTTTTTTTTTTTCTAAGAACAAAAGTTCACAGATCTTTTTATGTACAAAAAAAAAAAACTATTTTCTTTTTCTTTTACAGATCTTAATAGACAACATGGATTACATTTCTTTTCCCCAAAAAAAATTCACATATGTATATGTGTGTATATTGTACGGAGTATATTTATTTTTAGGATGTATAAAATTTTTCATGGCTTGAAAATATGTATACACATACATACAGTCAATGTATATACACAAACATTCATAAGATAGAAAGACAAATTGCATATATATGTTAAAGCATATAATACAAATCAACATGATTTTACAATGTAAATATGCAATTCGTTGGCAATTTGAATAGTTATGAATGTTAATTAGAAAAAAAACATACCGTTCTCCGAAAGAAGAGCTTGCTGATAACGTGTTGTAACCCATTAGCTCATTGCTCAAAGAATAGTAGGATGGAAAAATAATAGAGAAGGAGAGAAAGTAATAGACAAGGCAATAGTATATCTTATTCATTCATGTCTATGTCTTACATACAACCATAACACATCTATATATAATATACAAATATAACGGAAGACATAATGGAGACATAAATACAAAACCGTTACAATTGTTATATAATCTATAATAATGTCCACATAATGATATATTTATAACAAAATACTGGTTTATATTTTAAATAACGAAGTTTACTTTTAATCTTTGATTAATGTGTGATTGTCACATTTAGTCTTATTTTAAAAAAAAAAAAAATTCATTACATCTTTGATTAGTGTAAAATTCTTTATTAAATGGTACAATGTCAATTTTAAATAAAAGATTAACTATTGTAAGCAATGTTGCAAAAATCGCATCTAGCCGCTAGGCGGCGCCTGGCCGCGTCGAGGAATGCCAGAATTGGCTTCCTCCGCGACTGGTAGCCTAAGAGATCTAGGCGGCGCGGAGACTGCCTAGCCGGCCGAATTGTCTCGAATTGAACCCTAGTTTTTTTTTTTTTTTTTAAAAGGTTATTCGCCAAACGACGTCGTTTTGACGAATAACCCTTAAAAAATCGCTTGAAGCGAGTCAGCAACGAAAAAAGAAGAACCCCTCAAACGCACTGCTCGCAACTCGCCCACGCCCTCCGGTCGCCTCCGCCTCCGCCAGTCGCCGACCTAGCCAATCAGCCTTCAAGTACGTATGTTATTTATTTTATTTGTTTTTTTTTTCAGTTTTTACCTTTTACTTTTTAGTTTAGGTTTTGCTTTATTTTTTTTTCTTTTAAATCTTTTATTAAAAAAAAATTTAAAAAAAAAAAACAAAACAAAACAAAAAATATCGAGCGCCTTGGTGCCAACAAATCAGAACTTAGGGCACCTAGTGTCTTTTCAACATTGGTTGTAAATAAACAAAATTTAAGTTAAAAATGTAATGAGACAAAATTTGAAGAATATAACCAAATTTAACAACTGCTACAATATAACTTTATATATTTAGAACTCATTAGACATGCATGTTAATATAATTTTCTTTTTAGAAAATAAAACTTTAGAAAAAAATTATTTTAATAAATCTATAATTAAATCAACAAAATATATATTTATTTATTTATTTATTTATTTATTTATTTATTTCATAGCATATCATAATATTCATAAAATAATAAAATAATATTTAAAAATCATAACTAATGCTAATATTAACGGGTTAAGTCAGTTGACCCGTTATTTGTGTTTCTAATTCCGTATCATGTTAACAAGTCGTACAAAATTCCCTAAGTCTAGGCTATGCCTCCAAGAAGAAGAGTCTATTTCCTGTGGTTGATGCATACATTAAAAACTTCCATCTAGCTACAAGTAAAGAAAGTAAAAAATTCAAATAGATGGCCGGTTGAGTACAATATGAATTTTGTATTTAAAGATTTCAAGTCGATTCTTATTAACATTTTTTTTTGGAGCGATCTTCCTAGTGCAATTTATATCTATTATGTATGTGGTCGTGGTCTTTCCAACATGCTCTCTTAAATAATTTTTACACAAAAGTAATATTTACCTAGTACTGTCGGTAGGTTTACATAGTCATTCGAAGAAAGATTTTTATTTTTATTTTTTTTAAAATGTAAGGATTCCACCTATTAAATTTTGTGGTGTAAGATAGTTCCCCAAAAAATTGGTTAATGACCCAGACAACTCAGCCACTCAGGAGTCAGGACAGTAACGACCAAAGAGTAAAGACTAAAGACTTTCCTTCAAAAAAAAAAAAAAAAAAAAAGAAGACTAATGACTTGCAGTACTGCTATCATAGTTAACATGTATTTTGGGTTAGACTTGTAAGTCTTTGTCTTTAGTTGTTGACGCCTTGACGGAGCAAACTTACAATTTGGGGTACAATAATTTGGGGTTCTTAATAGGTTTAACGGGTTGACCCGTTAAGACACGAAACATAACGGGTCATTAACGGGTCAACCCGTTAACGACCCGAGATACGTTAAGGCTAAACACTAACTCGTTATTTTCGTGTCCGGTTTCGTATCGTGTTAACGGGTCGTGTCCATAATTGTCAGGTTTAACTAATACTCGACTTTGCAATTTATTGTAAATTGAGCACATCGATATTGAATATTGACCTGCCTAGCATAAAATTTAAATACAGATAGTGAAATTTAAAAACACCAGTGATGGAATTTGACTCTTTAGACTACAACAGATATGGAAAGTATAGAACAAATACTAACTTATAATAGAGTTAATTAATTGTATAAAAAAAGTCAAAAATGTAATGTTATAAAAATTATAAAGAATAATAAGACTAAATATCACAATAATTAAAAATTAAAAGTAGAATTCACGTGGGTTTTGCAACGTACAATTATATATTGGCAAAAACTTGTTTGAGACCGTCTCATGATCGTGAGTCGGATTGGGTCAAGATGAAAATATAATACTTATAGCACAAATGTCATACTTATATGCTTAAATGTAATATTAATTAAGAATAAAATTTTTATTACTTTTAAAGGTAAATGTAATATTTTTAAAGGAAAATGTAATACTTTTACAATTTGATTTAAAAGTATTACATTTTAGTATTTTATACCGATTGAGACATGCAATGCATTTTCCAGTCCATGTTTTTCGTAGTTGTCAAGGAAGCTTCCAGCCCATCTTAGTAATAGCTATAGCATATGAAGTTTGTATATATATCTATTATCCAGCAAACAAATAAACATAAGCAAAGCATTACATTTATAGTCATATATATATTAAGCTTGAAAAACTTTCCTCATAATGGGGACGACTTTCGTCCATCAAACTAGTTATTTCTTCATCATCCTCTTCGCCTTTGTGCTTATGGAGCTGTGCAATTGTAGCGGAAGCAACAACTTGGGGGTTTGCAAGGAGAGGGAGATGCAAGCACTATTGTGCTTCAAGAAGGAGTTTGAAGATCCAATGAATCGACTCTCCTCTTGGGTTGATGGAGTTGATTGTTGCACCAAATGGGAGGGAGTTATGTGCGACAATGTAACCGGTCATGTTGTTCAACTCCGGCTAACAAATCCCAACTTTCAGTTTGAGTTTGTTCATCTTCCGAAAGGTACACTCAGCCCTTGCTTACTAGAGTTGAAAGAATTACATCACCTTGATCTTAGTGGCCTTTATAAATATTTCAGTGGATCTCGAATTCCTAATTTCATAGGATCCTATGCAAACTTGCAATATCTTGATTTATCCAACTTGGGATTTCAAGGGATCATTCCCCCTCAACTTGGAAACTTTACAAGTTTGCACACTTTAAAATTGCATCCAAGCTTTTATGATACTAGTCTCATAAAAACTAATAGTCTTGACTGGTTGTCCAATCTTTCAAAATTACAGTTATTGGATTTGAGTAATGTTAATCTCAGCATGGCACATAATTGGTTAGAGGCCATTAATATGCTTCCTTCCTTGCGTGAGCTTCATTTATCTGATTGTGATCTGTCTAAACTATCCCAGTCACTTCGCCTTCTAAACAATTCTTTACTTGAAGTCCTTGATCTTTCCTATAATGAATTCAACACTGTTATTCCTAAATGGATGTTTAATCTCAATAACCTTGTTTCTCTTGATCTAACATCTTCTGGTTTTCTAAGTTCACTCCCTGATGGTTCTTGGAACTTGACATCCATTATCACTCTTAACATCAGTGGTAATGAAATGAATGGTTCATTACCTAGTCAATTGTTTGGTCTTAGTGGTTTGGTATCTATGAACCTAAGAGATAACCAATTTCAAGGTTCCTTGCCCAATAGTCCTTGGAACTTGACATCCCTGAGTATTCTTGACATCTCCAGGAATAATTTGAATGGTTCATTACCCCATCAATTGTTTGGTCTTAGTCACTTGGCATCTCTGGACATAAGTTTCAATCAATTGCAAGACCCTTTACCCAATGGTTTCTCAAACTTGACATTCCTTAAAAATTTGGATGTTTCTGGTAACCGCTTGAATTCACACATACCAAATCAGATTTACGATTTGACCAATCTAGAGTCACTAGGTCTTAGTGCCAACCAATTACAAGGAACCATTTCAAATTCTATTTCCAATTTGACATCTTTGTCTGTCCTTTATCTCTATGGGAATATGCTTACTGGAGAGATACCAAAGCAAATTGAAAATCTCAGCAAGTTGCAAGCGCTTTCTCTCTCTAGTAATATGCTTACTGGAGAGATACCAAAGCAAATTGGGAATCTCAATAAGCTGCAAGAGCTTTATCTCTCTGAAAATATGCTTACGGGTGAGATACCAAAGCAAATTGGGAATCTCAACAAGCTGCAAGAGCTTGATCTCTCTAATAATAGCCTTACTGGAGAGATACCAAAGCAAATTGGGAATCTCAGCAAGTTACAAGTCCTTGATCTTTCAACAAACAGGTTATGTGGACCTCTTCCTGAGAATTTGGGGTATTCATTTCCAATGATTGAAGAGTTGTACATTTCAGATAACAAGTTGGAAGACATAGTGACAGAAAATCACTTTGTTAATCTCACAAAGTTAACCACTTTAGATGCATCTGGAAATAGATTAACCATGCATGTCAGTCCAAACTGGACACCTCCCTTCCAACTTGATCGGCTTTATCTAAGTGGCTGGAATTTGGGTCCTCAATTTCCTCTCTGGTTGCAATCTCAACATCAAATTTCTGTGGTGGACATTTCTAATGCTGGAATAGAGGGTGAGCTTCCAACTTGGTTATGGAACTTTTCTTCTCAAATTGAATTGGTTAATGTTTCGCACAACCAATTGCGAGGCCAAATTCAAAATATACCTTTTCACTCAACTAGAGCGATGGGTAGACCTTTATTGGTGTACTTGGGCTCTAACCAATTTAGTGGTCCCTTACCTCGTATCCCTATCCACATTATTGAGTTAGACTTATCAAAGAATTCATTTTCAGGAAATGTTTCTAAGTTCTTTTGCCATGCACAAAAGGTGCCATATGAACTCAGAATACTTCATTTGGGAGGAAATGATTTATTTGGAGAAATTCCAGATTGTTGGATGCATTGGCCATACTTAATAGTCTTAAATATGAAGGAAAACAAATTGACTGGAAGCATTCCAAATTCTATTAGTCTTTTGAGTCATCTAGAATCTTTGGACATGCACAAGAACATGCTTTCTGGTCCTATACCATCACTGCAAAATTGTTCCTTCCTATTGAAAGTTGATTTGGCTGAAAATGGATTCACAGGGAAGATTTCAAGATGGTTGGGGACCTCTCTTTCACATTTGATAATCTTAAGGCTCCGATCAAATAAGTTTAATGGTGAATTGTCTCCAGAGTTTTGTCATCTTACATCTCTTCGCATTTTAGACCTTTCCAATAACAACCTCTCTGGTGTAATACCTAAGTGCCTTAAAAATCTCACCGCAATGATCAATGAAGGGGAGCTTTCAAATATATTTCTTGAAAGGGGGTATTCACTTTATGGAAGGGGTTTCGGTGAAAGTGCTCTAGTGACTACAAAAGGACACGAGTATGAGTACTGCACTATCATTTTAATGTTGCTTGTTAGCATGGATTTTTCTAGTAACAATTTTAATGGGGAAATTCCAATTGAATTGACGAATCTTGTGAGGTTGAGATCGTTGAATTTATCAGGAAACAAATTGACAGGAAATATCCCCATGGAGATGGGAAACATGAAGTTATTAGAATCCATTGATCTATCAAGAAATCAACTTTCAGGAAAAATTCCATCAAGCTTCTCAAGTTTGTCATCTTTGGGTGTTTTAGACTTGTCATATAACAACCTATCTGGGGAGATACCTTTAGGCACTCAACTGCAAGGCTTTAATGTTTCGTGTTACATAGGCAACAACCTCTGTGGCCCTCCGCTCTCAAAAAGCTGTAGTGTTGATGATGGTGAAATTCTCAAAAATGAAAACAGAATAGATGACGGTTGTGAAGTGGATTGGTTCTATGTTAGCATGGTTATAGGATTTGCAGTGGGCTTTGGATGCATCTATGGTTCTTTGTTACTTGTAAAATCTTGGAGGATTGCTTATTTTAAATTTTTAGATAAGAAGTTGAAGTCTTTTTTAGTATGGGCACATGCTTTGAGTGCTTAATGCTTCTAGCTATTTTCTTAAATGTTAGAAAACATCTATAAAGATTGAAGTTTGCGATTAAATATATTTTTATTACGTTGTAATTTATCAAGTACCACTAATTGTAACATATATTGTTGTAATTGTAAACCTATATATCTAGCTTTTAGTTGTACAAGTCTTCTGCAACAATATAATGAGTTTTAGAACATATTTTGTTGTCTATTGCGTATTCATTATAGTTACTGCTACAATAAGTGCATTTACTACTGCTCAGCTCCTTGGTATATAAAATAGATACTCTGATCTGTGAATTAGAAAAACTAAAGCTGTATTGAAGAAAATGCTACATGGAATCAATCTGGAGCAAGAAGTATTATACATGGTATTTTGTGGCTTTCCAATGGGTGAGCAGGAGGAAGAGAGGCATGTTAGACTAAAATATCACATGCATAATCTTATATGTGATAATAGGATCGTACTAACCTCCAGCCATAGTTCTTCTTACGGTTGAGCGATCCGGGCTGCTGCAGAGATGATAAGTGCTTTGTCTCTCACTTTACTCAGCTCTCTCTAGATGGTGTATGAGGTATGTAATGTGAGCAGTGAGAGGACTAGTGACCTTATATAACCACGGGCCATCATTGTGGTTGATTGTCTTTAGGTCTCCTAAACCCTAACTAGACTCCTAATCATAATGGTAGTCTAGTTGTTAGGTTATTAGTGTTGCACCACATATCAAATACTGAATATTATCATAACTTATCCTAATGTCATAATAATAGTAACGGATAAACGTTACATTCTCCCACTTGGTGCAAGCACTACCACTCAATAACAGAAAAACACCAACCATAGTGATATGTTCTCATTAGCACGAGTAGTATCCATTATGATCAAATGCAAACTGCCAATGAGCACTTAATTAGGAAACAAAACCCAACGAAATAAACCCTATGTTTATTCCAAGTCCCTGAAGTACATTTTCTCATCAATATGAAGCAAATGAATGTGTACACACTTAATTGAGAAAATGTCTGAATGCCAAAGAATTTTATTGAAACTGAATGTATATACAAATCACAAAGTAGATGAAAGTCTCATTTTCTAAACCAGATCCTTGAATTTAACTGAAGGCATGCATTTAGTCAAGGGATCTGCTAACACCAACCCAGTATTAATGTGTTCAAAGAATAGAACTTTATTTTTGACACACTTCCTAATTGCTAAGAACTTGATGTCGATGTACTTAATTCGACTCCCACTTTTGTGGTCTTAGCTAGGAAGACTGCAGCTGAGTTGTCACAGTAGACTTTCAATGGCTTAGATATAGAATCCATAATTCTAAGCCCCTAGTTAAAATTCTTTAGCCAAACACCCTATGAAGTTGCCTCGAAACTGGAAACGAAATCGGCTTCCATGGTAGAAGTAGCTATTAAGGACTGTTTAACACTTCTCCATGAGATAGCCCCACTGGCCACAATAAAGACGCACCCTGATGTTGATTTTGAGAATCAACACAGCCAGCAAAGTCCGCGTCTGAATAACCGACAAGATCTAAATTGTCCGTCTGCCTAAACCCAAGCTTGTAACCTTTGGTTCATCTTAGATACCTTAGAACCCTCTTTACAGCTCTCCAATAGTCTTACCCCAAATTGTGTTGGTAACACCCAAGCATTCCAACCGCAAAAGCAATGTCCGGCTTTATACAGACTCAAATATATCCAAGACATCCAATAAGGGATGTTCTCCATGGATTCTTTCTCCAAGTCATTTTCCGGACATTGGTCCAAACTGAATTTATCCCCCTTAGTTATGGGAGCAGCGTTCGGTGAACAATTTTGCATATGAAATCTCTCTAAAACTTGTTTATATAGGTTTCTTGAGATAAACCCAGTATACCCCGGGACCTATCTCTACGAATTTTAATGCCGATAACGTAAGAGGCATCACCCATATTCTTCATATCAAAGTTCATAGAAAGAAATTGTTTCACGAAGCATCCCCTTATCATTGGTGGCAAGTAAGATGTCATCCACATATAAAACAAGGAAACAAATTTTACTCCCACTCACCTTCTGGTATATACAGTTATCTGAGGGATTTTCAACAAAACCAAATGAAGAAATTACCCCATTGAACTTGATGTACCATTGACGGGAGGCTTGTTTTAAACCGTATATGGATTTCTTAAGCTTACATACTAAATGTTCACCACCCCTAGAAGAGAAACCTTCAGGTTGTTTCATATAAACCTCCTCTTCTAGATCACCATTTAGGAAAGCGGTTTTCACATCCATTTGTTGCAACTCAAGATTAAAATGTGCAACTAATGCCAGAATGATCCGAAGTGAATCTTTCTTTGATACAGGAGAAAATGTCTCATTGTAATCGATTCCTTCTTTTTTAGTAAATCCCTTGGCAACAAGCCGGGCCTTGTATCTCTTAATGTTGCTTAATGAGTTTCTTTTAGCCTTAAAGACCCATTTGCAACAAACGGCCTTGGCCCCATTAGGCAACTCCACAAGATCCCAAACTTCATTGTCCTTCATGGAATTCATTTCATCTTTCATGGCTTCTAACCATAAGTCAGACTGTGCACAATTTGTGGCTCGAGAGAATGTTTCAGAATCATTTTCTGCCCCTATGTCAGATTCTTGTAGATACGAAACATAATAACTAGGACCTGTTGATCGCCTTATCCGAGTAAACCGTCTTAATGTTGGACCTCCACCACCTTGCACAGGCTGCAGGTCAACTACCTCTTCAGGAACTGGTAGCAGTTCTTGAATTGGTTCAGTCTGCATCGGCTCAGAATCTTGCTGTATATCCTGAGTTGGTTCAACCATTGGTTCAAAATCTAGTTCAGGCGGTTGCTGTAAGTCCTGAAATGGTTCTTCCAAAGGTTGATCCTCAACAGTTTGTGGAACCTCAACGGTAGGTGGTATATCTGCAGGCATAACTAAAGGAGCACTGCGGATAAGTACAACCCCACCAGATGACGTAGAAGGTTGAGAGTCAATATGATCGAAGGAAGGAACTAAGTCCTTAAACCGATCACTCCCACTAATCAAGTCATCTTCAAGAAATTTAGCATTCCTTGATTCCACTATCCTAGTAGTATGAGATGGACAATAGAATCTATAACCCTTAGAAGATTGTGCATATCCAATAAAGAAAGCACTAATCGTCCTTGGATCAAGTTTCTTCTCGTGTGGGTTATATATCCTCAC